CTGAATAGAAGTCGGAATATTTGTGATTGAAAGAGATGGGATCACCTTATTTCAGAGGTAAATTTAGTGAGAAAACAGCCGCCAAAGTATGATAACTTCAATAGCTTGAGAGCCTTTAAAACTGAAAAATTACAAATGTTGTGCATGTAATGAACGTTTTTCAGTATGAGCGTAAAAGGTGTTTAGCGCGGAAAAAAAATTCAATAAAACCTGCGGAAAAATGCCATTTTTTTTCCACTTTCATTATTTTGACGAGCGCCTGATTTCACCACGCTGCCTCACAATTAGAGTTATCATTCAAGGAAAATATTGCATACACACTCTTTTTACTCATATAAAGGAAAAAATTGAGACTGTTGTTTATGACAAAAGCGCTTTAATTAATTTTTTTTAAAAGTTACAGTGGAATTCTGATAAAGTCAACACCCCGGACAGAAAAAAAGTGTTGACTTTGAGCAAGGTTGACTTCATCCATTGTACTACATGTACTGGCCATTGAAAATTGAAGATGACGGCTACAAAATTACAAAGTGAAGTACCTGGTAATAAACAAGATGTAATCTCAATTTCAGGGAGTATAATTCTGAAGTTGTCACCAAAATAAGAGATAATGAAAGAACAAAGTACATATATATGTAATTGGAGGTGTGTACACCACTTGCTCAGGCGAAATGTCTCTTCTTGAATGAATTCATCTTGGGATTTAGCCCCAAATTGTTGACTTTACGTAAGGTTAACACTCAAGCGGTTGACTGTATCAGAAACACAATTATTACTTTAACAAAGAAGGTAAGAAACGGGACTACAGTGAGGTGTTGACTGTAAGCAAGAATTTACTGTAAGCAAGTTGACTTTATCAGGATTCCACTGTATCTCTGTTATTACTGATCATTTATGCTTTTTTTTAAAAAGTGAAATTTATAGTTATCATCAATAAATGCAGAGTTCATCATTAGGTCAAAATTAGATTTCCATCTCACAAAAGTGTCATATTATATTATCAAGACACCCCCCCCCCCTTACAAGAGCCAAAGGCGTAAGATTATATTTGAACGGCCCCAAAGAGCGTCTTCTCATCTTGAAATATCGACGAATCAGATTGCAGTATTTAATACCATACACTCCCCGTTCCTCTTCAACCGAGGTCACTCAAAAAATCAATGCACGAAACGCGCTGCTGCGACAGTGAAAACCTCGATAGTGTTGTCTTTTATCTCGCAAGATTTTGCTTTCATAAGAATCGTTGATTCAAATAAATAATACCAATAAAAAGCTCCTCTTTCTTCTGATATATTAAGTGTCTGTGTGTATGCATGATCACATGGTGTTTTAGGAGGGTAAAAATATGGGTTTTGATCTCCTTCACAGTGCGCCACGGGGGCGCACTGTCAGTTTGCGGTACCTACAAAAGCAGTTTTGAAGTCAGTTTGGCAGTCACTGTACACTCTATTCCAGATTCAATACTGAATGATAGGTGCCTTGAACGATAGTCCATAAATGCTTTTTAAAAAAAAAACTCGCCTCATTACATACACTATGTTCATCGTAACTTGTGCACACCCAAACACCCCCTTCCCCTCCCCACATAATATTTACACAGCGAACACACGCGAGAGCATGTGCACATGCATGCACACACACCTACACATGTGCATTCAAAAACAAGTTTTCAAAATATAATTACACCAATCTCGTGGAAAGCGTGTTCGATGGGGCAGCGATCATCTTTTTTTTCTTCCTTCTTTGTCTTTGTACTACCTGATTTTGGGCCAAACTACCTGAAACTGACCCTGAATCTACCTGAAACGGGAACTTTTAGGAAGGCAGCCCTGAGTTTTTTTGTTTTTTTTTTAATTTTTTTTTTTTACATGTCATGTTGAAGAGGGAAATGCTGGTGTTACATTGTTTAATTTTTCTCATGCAGACCAAAGAGTACTTAAAGGACCCATCCAAGTTTGCTGTTGCTGCGGCTGCCCCTACAGCTGCTGCTCCGGCAGAAGAAAAGAAGAAGGAGAAGAAAGAAGAGTCTGAGGACTCCGAGGATGACGACCTTGGCTTTGGTCTCTTCGACTAAGCTGGGACGACAACATTGCAGGTCATGACACGACGCGACGGAGCCCGGTTTGTCATTGTGTGAGGAAGCCTTGACTGGCCAGTAGGTGATTGGTTACCACTGAAATGGCAGCAGCTTGTAATTGTGACACTGACAGACTGATGGCTGAGAATAAAGTTGACCTTGATTTTGAAAATATTACTTTTGGTTTTGTGTGTGTGTGTGTGTGTGTGTGTATTATTTAGTGTAAAAGTGTACATTTCCTCTCAGAAATTGTGCCTCAGTGGGTAGTTGGCGGGTGGTCTGGTGTGGTTTGCTCCATCTCTCCTATCAAACATCTATCGTCTTTATCTCCCCATGTTCTTTTTTTATGTTTGTTACTCTCTTGTAACGCCTCTAATCTTCTGGCGTTCATATTACCATATGCAGTTGCGAGCGCCGTAAAACATCTACTAAAACTAAAAACTGTGCCTCTGGTGGTAGGTCCTTTCATCTTTTCTTTTCTTTCCCTGTTTCAGTCTCATACATTTTCACCCGCTCATTGTAAAACCTCTACAGTAGTCTCCGCCTAATCGCACGCCATACAAAAGCATGCTCTGCTCAAACGCACGCTTTCGTCCTCTGACGGGTTTTTTATTATATAATTTAGACGTACAAACGCACGGTCACTCCCTCTAAATGCACGCTCCGATCTGCGAAACACACTGACAGTAGTGACAGGTAAAACTTGACTAAGGGAAATTTTCACTACAAGACTACAAGCTTAGAAAATCGGATATTTGGCGAGATCGCCCCTTACGCCAAACAAAGAGAGTGATGAACAGCGCTTTCGCACCCAACTTTCCACAGACATAGTATAGGCAGCATAGGTCTAGGAGGACTGGTCGGTGAAATGTTGGGGGGTTGGGGGACTGAAACGTTATTTGATTGGTGACTGGAAATGCATCTCTTTTGAGAGAAGGTTTCTGACTGGTGTTTGAGTGACTGCGTGTTGGCTAATTTTTAGTTAGACCTAAGCCTATGATGCGCAACACGCGTGAATGCTCGTTCATGAATTTACGGTCGGGGGTGGTCGCTTGGAAAGCCACGTGGTTGGGCCGTCGTCTCTATGACTATCACCAACAATTTCTTTTCAGGCTAATGGTTCCCGACATTTTATGGTTCATTCATTACATCAAGTCTGTCTGTCTATATCCCCCCCCCCCACCCCCCCCACCCCAATAAAGCACCTAATAAAACTTACTTCTTGATGATTTTGATGATCTGTGAAGAGTTTCAGTCGAAAATAAACACGAAGCGAGGCGACACATGTCCGCCATTTTTACAACACTGTTGAATAGCACGTCTGACGCATCGCGCAGCTCAGCTGACGAAAAACAGACGACACAGCGACGCTGCTTAAGCACACGATAATGTATACATTCATTTGCACGGTGCGAGCCAGGCGAGCTACAGGTCAGACCTACACAGCCACTCTGGGACCGGCCTTACGGTAATAGGTAATAGGTTACGGTACACGTTGTACATGTACATACAATACCATTCCTTTCAGTTTTGTTGACACTCAGGACTCGCAGAGAACACGTGTTGAACTAGTCTCGTTTCCAATTTGTCGCGTCGCTTGTAAATGTGAAATACCAAAACTCCTTTCCTTTCCTAGCTTGGAGCTACTCAACTAGCCTAATTATTGCTTTAGTTTTTTAAATTTTCACCTCCCTTGCAGAAAAAAAGGATGGTTGGCCAACTAGGCCTACTTGATTATTTGCTTTTGTTACTGTTGTGGGTTTTTTTTGTTTCTCAATTTTTCTTCTTCATCTTCTTGTTTTGTTGGTGGTTGTCAGGTAGTTGTTGTTGTTGTTGTCTCGTAAAAAAAGGGCCTATATTATGTCATCTATCATCGCAGTAATTCCTTGGGCTGCTTATTTTTATAATCTCCCTCCAGGAGACGTCTACTATATATATATATATATATACAGTCCGTGCCGGCCTTAAGCACGTTTCGGACTCAGTACGCTAAACGGCTCTTACCGAATTTTTGCTATATAATTTACACGCCTATAAGCACGGTAACTTCGGCTTTAAGCACGCTTCATTTACAAGACAGTCAATATTTTCATGATGACCCATCGAAGTTCGAACACAGTCTACACCGCAGCAATGGAGTGTGTCAAGAGAAACACAAAGAACGCAAGTGATGGACACACACACCCACACGGTCGGAGAGGAAGGCAGAGAGATGCACACAGCCGTGAGCGCGGACATAGGATCTAGCCTAGACCTGGGCAAAGCTACACACGACCAAAAAAATACATACAAAGAGAGTCGGAGAGACGAGAAAGGGAGGCTGGCTGCGATTTCACCTTTGACCCTCGCTATCCATTAATCCTGATTGTGTATCACGCACGAGGTGGGATGAAGGCGGTGGTATGAGTGGCACAGCGGGCAGTGGTACGCACAGGCAGTGTGTTACAGTAGGCGTAGTGTGCTGTATCGTGACTGGGCCGTCTAAATTAAGTTTTCATTTCCCATTCGACCACAAAACAAAAACAAACAGCGAACAAGCGAACAAAAACTACCATGGCGGGTGTCTAAATAACAGTGCACACTTTTGCGGGACCGCTATAGGCCTACTTACAAACAAAGGGAAATAGCACGGGGAATTTTCTACATGAAAATCTCTGGATTATGTCTACTTCGCACGCTTCGGCTTTAAGCACGCTTAAGCTTTCTCCCGATGACCGTGCTTACTTAAAGCCGGCATGGACTGTATATTATACATGTAGGTTTTAGGACAGGTCACCATAGTAAAATAAGTAGGTTTCTTTAAAGATCGGTGGACCCCGGGGTCACCGTAGTGAAATAAGTAGGTTTAATTTTAAAAGGATTGGTGGACCCCGGAGTCACCATAGCCGTAGAGGAATAAGGTTTAATTAAGAATTGGTGGACCCCCGGGACACCGTGATTAAACCTACTTATTTTACTACGGTGACCGCATGGTCCACCTATTCTAAAACCTAACTAGTATTAAATTTCGTTAGGTAGACCCTGGGGTCCACCTTAAACCTACCTATTCTGTCCCCATAGAATTATGCGAATTTAGATGGCCAAATTATGCACAAAAAAAAGCCAAATTATGCAAGTTACCGTAACACCTTTCGCGACATGTTTTGCACTTTTTCAACACAAATTTTCATGACTTTTATGTTTTAAGAAGCCTACAGAAATTTTTTAAACAGAACGTATCAGTATCAGTAATTTGTAGTGTATTTGGAAAGAAAACAATATACATCTGTAAAAAAAAAAAAAACAACTAAAAAATATAATCTCTGTAACTTTCAGCTGCAGATCTAGATCTAGATCTAGATCTGGAAAAGAAAAATGTAAAAAAAAATATTTTAAAAAGACATCTGGACCTCTGATGCTGGCACATTACTAAAACCAGGAACACCTGTCAAACATGAAGCAGCAGCAGACATGAAAACAACAACTTTTGACGGATTGAAAAATTGAACATGCTCAAGGAACAAAATCCCAAACCATAACCAAGATCTTCTACCAAGGGAAATAACCAACTTTTCACTTAAATAAGAC